GGGTGGAAGGGTGGGAAGGGGAAGGGGGAGATTTATATTGTAAAATTTTATAAAATTTTTAATTAAAAAAAAAACCACAGTAAAATAGGAATGCTAAAAAGGTCTGTGTTCAAACACCTCAACATCTCTAGGGCAGGGGTGGGGAACCTTGGCTCTTTTATGACTCCTGGACTTCAACTCCCAGAATTCCTGAGCCAGCCTGGCTCAGCTTGGAAACCTCTCCCTTTCCCCTCAGCATGGCTGGCTCAGGAATTCTGGGAGATAAAGTCCACGAGTCCTAAAGGGGGCCATAGTTCCCCCATGCTGGCTCAGGAATTCTGGGAGTTGATGTCCACCAGTCATAAAAGAGCCAAGGTTGCCTACCCCTGCCCTAGACCATCTAACCACTGAAGCTCAAGCACCATTCATACGAAAGAAATCAGATGCCAGACAGATAGATGCCCCTGGCTTTCAGCTGGCATGGTGTGACCCATAGTTTGACCTGGGACCCCACAGTCCCACCGAGGGGAGGATGCTGCCCCCCATTTATACAAAGAGTCCTGGCAGACGCCGTGTGAGGCCTGAATCCTATTCAGGGCTGTCCGTTGCTGACGTGGTTGTTCAACCCTGGCACCTTGTTTTTCTGGGTCATCTCTGCGTCGTCCGTGTAATGGGGAGCGTAGTGAGGCTGGCAGAGACTGGGGGCCCTCACAACTGGGGGCCTAGGAATCCAGCCTTCTGCCTCCATCTCATACCCCAGCCCCAAATTCTGCACTCCACTTCTAAGTAGCCGGGGAGGGCTATTCCTGCCCTTGGTGAAAAATGGGGAAGGAAGGAAGGAAGGAAGGTAGGTAACAGGTGGGAGGAGGAAGGAAGAGATAGAAAAGAGGAAGGGAGGAATGAAAGGAGAGGGAGGGAGGGAGGGAGGGAGGAGGAAGGAAGGAAAGAGATAAAAAAGGAAGGTGAAGAAAGGAAGGGAGAGAGATAGAAAGAAGGGAGGGAGGGAGGAAAGAGGTGGGAGGAGGAAGGAAGAGATAGAAAAGAGGAAGGAAGGAATGAAAGGAGAGGGAGGGAGGAGGAAGGGAGGAAAAATAGAAAAGGAAGGAATGAAGAAAGGGAGGGAGGGAGATAGAAAGGAAGGAGGGAGGGAGGAAGGCGGAAGGAAGACAGAAAAGAGGAACAAATGAATTAAGGAAGGAAGGAAGGAAGAGGGAGGAGGGAGGGAGAAAGGGAAAGAAGGAAGAAAGGAAAAAAGAAAGTGAAGGAGAATGGAAGGAAGCAAGGAAAGAGGAGGAAGGAAGGAGAGAGAAGAACGGAGGGTGGAGAATATAAAAGGAAGAAATAGGGAAAAGAGAGAGAGGAGAGAGGGGAGGAAGGAAGGAAGGAAAGAAAGAGGTGGGAGGAGGAAGGAAGAGATAGAAAAGAGGAAGGAAGGAATGAAAGGAGAGGGAGGGAGAGAGGAGGAAGGAAGGAAGGAAAGAGAAAAGGAAGGAATGAAGAAAGGAAGGGAGGGAGATAGAAAGGCGGGAGGGAGGGAGGCGGAAGGAAGACAGAAAAGAGGAACAAATGAATTAAGGAAGGAAGGAAGTGGGAGGAGGGAGGGAGGGAGAAAGGGAAAGAAGGAAGGAAGGAAAGAAGAAGAAAATGAAGGAGAGTGGAAGAAAGGAAGGAAAGAGGAGGAAGGAAGGAGAGAGAGGAAGAAAGGAGGGTGGAGAATATAAAAGGAAGAGAGAGGGAAAAGAGGGAGAGAGGAGAGTGGGGAGGAAGGAAGGAAGGAAGGAAGGAAGGAAGGAGGGAAATATTTAAGGGGGGGGCAAGGAAAGGGCACATCCGTGGGCGGAATGGCTGCGCCGATCTTACGTTACAACCGGTCCCCTGGTAGACCCCAAACCCGACTGAATTCTGCACACGGGTCGTGAAGACGCGTCCTCGTCTGGAACAGCAAGGGAGGCCGATGCGGCGGGGGGAGCGTTCGCTCTGCACGAGCTCAGAGGCACAGCCCGCTTCCCCCTCTGTCCCTCCGCCTCTTTTTTTTTTTTTTTTTTTNCATCCCCAGGAACAGAACTGCCCTCTGGCCGCCTCCTGGGTTCAGACCGCTCTGGCTGGGGATGATAGGAATTGGAGTCCGAGCCTGTTTGGGAGGCTGCTCGCACCCACCGCGAGCTCCGAGGCCGCCCCAGATTCCAAGAGCTTGGCTCTGCTCCAAGAGCCTGGTCACTGGGGATGACATATGGCCTGTCATACCCAGACTAGCAATACGGGCAGTCCTCGACTTACGACGGTTCATTTAGTGTCCGTTCAAAATCACAATGGCACCGAGAAAAGCGGTATCCACATAGCCACGTGATCAAAAATTGGATTCTTGGCAACTGACTCGTATTTATGACAGTTGCAGCGTCCCAAGGCCACGGGGCTCCCTTTTTGCGACCTTCTGACAAGCAAAGTCCATGGGGAAGCCGGATTCATTTAACGACCGTGTCACTAACTTAACAACTGCAGTGATTCAGTTCGCAACTGTGGCAAGGAAAGGTCGCAAAATGAGGCAAACCTCAGTTAACCAATATCTTCCTTAGCAGCAGAAATTTTGGGCTCCTTTGTAGTCGTAGGTTGAGGACTAGCTGCATATATTATCATTTCACTTAGAGTATTAAAACACAGTAAAATGCATCTATTTTCATATTTGGTGGACATGTAGGGAAGTTAAAGCATTTTGGATTAAGATATGGTGGAATACTCAAAATATTTTTAAGAAAAAGATATAGTTTAAGCCACAGATATTTTTGTTGGGTATTATGGAAGACTTGGATGCGAAAGAAATGGAATTGATGTTGAACTTTATAACTGCTGCAAGACTATTAGTAGCTCAGTATTGGAAAACGGAATGTTTACCTACTATAGAAGAATGGTCATTTAAAGTCTCGAATTTAGCAGAAATGGCCAAGATCTCCGCTTATGTGAAGGATCACTCACAAGAAAGATATATTTTGGTTTGGAGAAGATGGATAGATTATATTGAGTGTAAATATGGGACTAAAAAATATTTGGTTTTTGAGTAAATTTTGGAATATTATGGTTGTATAAAGGTTAGAATATTTTATTTAGTATTATTTTTAATTATTAAAGTGTTGTTACTATTATTGTTTTTAATAATTGTACTGTTTAAAAGAGAGTTAAAGGAGGTTACAGATATGTTATTTTAATAGTTGATTAATGTTAATTAGAGTATGATTATGTTATTGTTAACCCTGTGATTGGCACTGGGAAGTGAGGGGGGAGGGAGGGGGGTGGAAGGGTGGGAAGGGGAAGGGGGAGATTTATATTGTAAAATTTTATAAAATTTTTAATTAAAAAAAAAACCACAGTAAAATAGGAATGCTAAAAAGGTCTGTGTTCAAACACCTCAACATCTCTAGGGCAGGGGTGGGGAACCTTGGCTCTTTTATGACTCCTGGACTTCAACTCCCAGAATTCCTGAGCCAGC